TGGAGACTGGGATTGGAAAAATATCCATTGACAGTCGAGTTAGGGTCGGCCATGTTAATGCTCGTGCCCTCCACCACTAAACCAAATCAAACATTTCACTATTGTCGACAACTAAGCCCTCACTCAAGTACGCCATTAACTCGTTGAAGCCGCCGCTGCTGTCGCCACCTCTTGATGAAGATCCACTCACAGATTCTTCTTGACCTTGAGTCGTCGTCGTCTTCTTCTTCTTCTTCTTCAACCCGAAAACATTCAAGAATGAATGCAGATTGTCGTCTCGTTGTTACGGTTGTTCGACACGAGGTGTGTTTATAAACCTACTTTCATAAGAGCTATAGAGAGATAATATTTTTTCCTTTATAATAGGAAATTGGTCAGAACAGTCGATATCTAAAAAGTCACCTAAGTTTTCTAATCCACTTTCTAAACCTAATAATTTTAATCTAGGGCAAAAATAACACCGAAATCATACAATATTGGTAATTTAGACCAATATTTTTTAAACTTCTTTTCCATTGAAGTAATAGGAACTCCTAAAACCTCGTGTGTCCTAAATTCACTAAATAAAATAGCCATTCTTAAAAGTTCTCCTAACGCTAATGGTGACATTGGGTAATAAGTTCTACTAAGCTTTAAAGTAATTTCGTGAAATCTACCTAAAAAGTTATACAAGAGTTCGGTAATTTGCCAATCAGTTTCGTCTATAAATCATGGTCCTAATTTTGCACTAACATAGTTAGTTATAACATCTTTATAGGGGATGCATTGTTCAAGCATTATGTAAGTGGAGTCCCATCTTACGGGCATGGCTAAGACTAATGTTCTAGGATTTTAATTACATGCTTGTAGAAACCTAAACCAATATTGTATTCTTTGATTACTACCTTAAATCCAAGCAATGTTATCTCTAATTCTTTTAATATGACCTGACATTGATTTTAATCCAAATTTTACTATTAAATTAATTATATGGCATGCACAACGTTGGTGAAATATATCATTATTACTGAATAAACTTAAATCATTTTCAAAAAGTTCTATTGTTTTAGTATTTGCAGTAGCATTATCTAATGTTATGGCCATTACTCTATCCCTTAAATTATACTCATCAATGACAGATAAACTTGTATTATATATTAATTTCGTGGTATGTGATCCTATAACACATTTAAAACCTAATATTCTCTTATCTAAATCAAAACTTTTAAAATAATGTCCAGTTACAGCTAAATAATCTCTGTTGGCAACAGCGGACCAAATATCCACCGTTAACGCAACGCAACCACTAGTAGAGTGTAAAATGTTAATTAATGCTTCCCTTTCTTGTTTATATAATTTTAATGCATCTTTTATAAGAGTAGTTCTTGAAAAAAAATTGTGCATTAGGATTATGTACAATTTTAATATAACGCTGTCAATTCTTTTGTTCAGTAAAACTAAGTGGTTGATCTAATGTGGCTACTAATCGTGTCATTTCCATACGATCGACTTGTAGATCGTATTTCCACGTGCTTAGACCATCAGTTTGGCAGTCAAACGATAATTGTGTTTGGCGGAGATCAGCTCCGCCTCTTTACTTTTGAAGACACCTTTTAGAGTGTCTTCTCAAGTGTGTAGTGCCGTGAATAGTGTTACCTTGTAATTTATCACCACAATATTTACATTGAGCTATGTATTTAATAATGTTACCGTTATTGTCGACCTCCTAGAATGTGTTGAAGTGCTCCCAAACTGTTGAGGTGCGCTTACATTTCTTCTTAGAACTTGCAACACTTGCACTAGCACTTCCGCTTGCCTCTCCTCCACGCCAACCACCATTACGTCCACGACCTCTAGTACGTCCACCAGGGCTCAGATTTACAGTTTCCTCAGCAGCTCTTTCTGTTGATTGTTATTCCTATGTTTGAAAAACATTAGTAGGAAATTACCCTTCTTCGATGTTGAATTGGGCATCAATGGGAATATCGCCACCATAACCAGAAGAAACCATTATGAAAAATAAGAGAGATTGAGAGCGCTTTGAGAGAGATTAAGAGAGATTTAAGCGAGATTGAGAGAGATTTGAGAGAGATTTGAGAGAAATTAAGAGAGGATGAGAGTTTTTGGGTGTGAAAAATGGTTGGAGGAGGGGGTATTTATAGAAAATTTGTTGGCTTAAAAAAAAAATTTCCCTCAAAAATTCGGTTCCAACAGTAACAAAAATTCGGGCATTGGGCAGGCCTGCCGCCCGAACTTTCAGCACTAGTCAAAACTAACGAAAGTTAGATAGAATAAGTTTGAGGGGATATGTTGCTTTAATGGTAAGAGATGACTTATAACCAATAGTCCTTCTAAAAAAATAAAACTTATAATGATTACATCTTTATTAAATTTCGTTAAATTATTAAATTTTTCATAATGCGATTTTTTATAATATAATATAATATAATAGTAAAATTATTACTATGATTTTTCATAAGTTTACATAGAAAACTTAAATTTAAATTTAAATTTTTATAAAAAAACACTAATAAAAATATTGAATTGTGGCTCGAAAAAAAAAGGAACAGGGCATATGTCATGCCGGTATAGTATTTTTTCATACCACACAACAAAATTCTTTTCTCACAATTTTCTACCATTGAATCTTGAATCTAGTCAAGTCATATTATAATAATAAAAAAATATATACATAATTGATAGGACTTTATACGAATCTAAAGCCTCGTTCATTTCACCGATTCGAGTTTAGAATTTGAGTTTTACTATAGTAAAAAGCTCTCAGAAACAGTCACATCTAACTTTTTTGCTACAGTAAAAAGCTCTCACATAAAATCACATCTCAACTCAAATTAAAAACTCGAATTAGCGAACTAAACGGGCCCTTAATATTCAAAATGGAGCTCTATCGAAGTCTTTTCATAACTGTTGTGGACCAATCAAGAGATGCACGTGAGATGGAATCTAAGGATTGACTCTCTTGCACGTTTAAACGCCAAATGGGTGAGCGGCTCTGGTAACCTAATGAAAGAAGGGGTCACCTCGTCCCTAGCAGTGAGGGATTAAAGTTTAGCCTCACATTTAGAATTGGTGGCTTACTCGGTTTAGAGTACTTGAGCAAAATGTTCATCACCAACCAAACCACGCTCGCTATGGCACACCACATGTTACATGAGAGGATAAAAATGAGGAGTGATTTTAAAAATGTTCATCATCAACCAAAATGTTCACCACTCCTCATTTTTATCCTCGTCCCTAGCATGTACTATGTCGCAGCATTTTGTCGTAAGTAGCATTTTTTTTCTACATAAGCATAGTAGAATTCTCCTATCTGTGATTGTACTAAGTGGACGTTTGGTTCATGGATTCAGAATCATGATTCAGAATCATTTTCGGTTTACGTGTGTTTTTTTAAGAGAAAATATTATAGCGAATCACGAACCAAGATTTGAATCATGACACGAATCCACCAACCAAACACAATGGTTCTGAAGTCCTAATTATTTGATGATGATTATTATATGTATTTAAAACACTGTTGCTACACATATAAGTTTTGTGTTTTATGCATTTTTTATTTACTTTTATTACTCCAAGACTCGTGGGCATTGTTTAAGAATTTATTTTTATTTTATTTTATTTCCCGCTTTTTCTTTTATTTTTCATTTACACCTAACTCCTAATCTCCACTCAGAGACATTACAAAAATGTTACACGAGTGATAGTTCAGAGGAGTTTATGTATTAGTTTTTTAAAAAAATTAAAATGTTCTTTAATTAATTTTATTATGCTTGTTTATTACATAATATGAAAAAATATCAACAAACAACAACAACAAGCCTTAATCCCAACTAATTGGGGTCGGCTATATGAATTTCACTTTTCCACACGGCTCTGTTCGAAATTAAACTTTTCTGAAGGCCTACATCTAGAATGTCTTTCCTAACGACTTCGGTCCACGTAATTCGTGGTCTACCCCTCCCTCTCATAGTATTAGGTATAAGAATGTCCTCCCAAGCACGAACTGGTGCTTCTAGCGGTCTACGTTGGACATGCCCGAACCACCTCAAGCAGCCTTCGCGCACCTTATCTTCTATTGGTGCTACACCTACTTTACTACGAATAACTCCATTCATTATGCGATCCATTCTCGTATAGCCACTCATCCATCTTAACATACGCATTTCTGCCACAATCATCTTAGATATATGATGTCTCTTAATGGCCCAACATTCACTAGCATATAACAGAGCTGGGCGGATTACAATTCTATAGAACTTTCCTTTCAACCTAATAGGCATCTTGCCATCACATAAAACTCCCGTAGCATTCTTCCACTTAACCCACCCTGCCTTAATCCTATGTTGAATATCCTCTTCTATATCTCCTTCATACTGCACTATAGACCCAAGATACCTAAACTTCCTAGAAGCCCCAATCTCCACACCATCTAAAAAAATTCCATCACTCTGATTACTTGAGTTACTAAACCTACAATGCATGTATTCAATTTTTGTCATACTTAACTTAAATCCCTTCGTCTCGAGAGTCTGTCTCCACAGTTCTAACTTACGGTTAACTCATTCCCTATGTTCATCAACTAAAAGTATATCATCCACAAAAAGCATACACCAAGGAACTCTGTCTTAGATTTCTCTTGTCAACTCATTCATCACGATGGTGAAAAGATAAGGACTAAGAGTAGATCCTTAATGAAAGCCGATCCAAATAGAGAACTCTGTCGTGTAGCCTCCAACAATTCTATAATATGAAAAAATATAATTGGTTAAATATTATTTAGGATATCAAAAATTATATAGATGATCTGAAGCATGAGAAATACCTACTAATGAAGTTGTATTTTAAATTGTCAGAGTTTGTATCACATACAAACATTTTGCATTCTTTTTCATTTTAGTATGATATGATATCATCCAGATTCCAGATTAATCTTCATAAGCTTATAAAATAAAAATAAATAACTAAAAAGAACTACCAAAAAGTAGATGACCATGGCTCAAAAAAATAATAAAAAAAGTAGACCAGTGTGGCTTTACCATGTGTGGTTTAACAAAGTTGGTAGTGGTTGAGGATACTTTAGGCTGTAATGGCTGTAATTTAAAGTGCACTGCTACCTCCCATCGCTATTTCTGGATTCATCGTGTGAATAATCAAATCGCATATTTCCCAATACCCCCCACCTCTTCTTTCCTTTTCCTTCTTCCATAACCGGCCAAAGGAATATAAATAAACAACCCAAAAAATAAAAAATGAACAAAAGCCGAACTTTTTTCAGACACTCTCACACCTACTCATCATCATCATCATCATTGAAATTTGAAGCTCATTTGTAATAAAGCTCAAACCTTTACCAATTCCCACCCATTTTTCCGTATGGCCAAAACCTCCATACTCATCTGGGTTTTCTTTTTCTTCCTATTTTATTCTTACCCAGTAAAATCCGATTCCGGCGAGCTCTTCTTCGTCGGATTCAAAGACGCCCGCGAAAACCTCTCTTTAAACGGCGTTGCGGAGATCCAACAAAACGGCATCCTCAGGCTCACAAACGACACTCTCCGGGTCCTCGGCCACGCCTTCTACTCGTCGCCGTTCCGGTTCAAGAACGCCACGACTGGTAAAGCGTTGTCGTTTTCGATCTCCTTCGCCTTTGCCATCGTCCCCGAGTACCCGAAGCTCGGTGGCCATGGCCTCGCCTTTACGATCTCGCCTTCCAAGGAACTACCCAAGGCCCTCCCCAGCCAGTACCTCGGGCTCCTCAACTCCACCGACGTCGGAAACTTCTCGAACCACATCTTCGCCGTCGAGTTCGACACCGTCCAGGACTTCGAGTTCGGCGACATCAACGACAACCATGTCGGCATCGACATCAACAGTTTGGCCTCCAACATGTCCGCAGCGGCGTCGTATTTCGACGAGAAAACGGGTATCAAAACGGACCTTAATCTCAAGAGCGGCAAGCGAATCCAAGCTTGGATCGACTACGATTCGGCCCAAACCCAGTTAACAGTCAAGCTCTCTCCCTCCTCCACCAAACCCAACTCTTCGATTCTCACTTTCGATGTCGATCTCTCGAAAGTTCTCGAAGATTCCATGTACGTTGGGTTCTCTGCTTCAACTGGATTATTAGCAAGTTCTCATTATATCTTCGGCTGGAGCTTTAATCTCAACAATGGCGAATCCAAATCACTTGATTTAGACTCATTGCCTTCTCTTCCAGGCCCGAAAAGGAACTACACAGTTCTCATTCTCATCGTCTGTATGGCGTCAATTCTGGTGATAATCTTTATCTCGGGAATCGCGTTTTACCTAATCAGAAACATCAAGAACGCCGACGTAATCGAAGCTTGGGAGCTAGACATCGGGCCCCACAGATTCTCCTACGAGGAGCTCAAACAAGCCACGAGAGGGTTCAGAGACAAGGAGCTTCTCGGGTTCGGCGGATTCGGGAAAGTCTATAAAGGGACATTACCGAACTCGAAAACCCAGGTGGCGGTGAAGAGAATCTCGCACGAGTCGAAACAGGGTCTCCGAGAATTCGTATCGGAGATCTCGAGCATCGGGCGGCTCCGCCACCGGAACCTCGTCCAGCTCCTCGGATGGTGCCGCCGCCGCGGAGATCTTCTCCTCGTCTACGACTTCATGCCCAACGGAAGCCTCGACAAGTACCTTTTCGAGGATCCCAAGAGGATTCTGACATGGGAGGAGAGGTTCAAGATCATCAAAGGCGTGGCTTACGGCTTGTTGTATCTTCACGAGGAGTGGGAACAGACGGTGATTCACAGAGACATTAAGGCCGGAAATGTTTTGTTGGATTCCGAGCTTAACGGACGGCTCGGAGATTTTGGTTTGGCGAAGCTTTACGAGCACGGTTCGAACCCGACGACGACGAGGGTGGTCGGGACTTTGGGGTACTTGGCGCCGGAGCTGACGAGGACGGGGAAGCCGACGACGAGCTCCGACGTGTTCGCGTTTGGTGGGCTTTTGCTGGAGGTGGTTTGTGGGCGGAGGCCCGTTGAGCCCAAGGCCCTACCGGAGGAGCTCATTCTGGTGGACTGGGTTTGGGATAAGTGGAGAGTTGGGGCGGTTCTTGACGTTGTGGACCGCAGGTTCGATGGGGTGTTTGATGAGGTTGAGGCCGTTGTGGTGCTTAAATTGGGCCTAATGTGTTGTGGTAATTGGCCGGAGGCCCGGCCCACTATGAGGCAGGTGGTGAGATACTTGGAAGGGGAGGTGGCGCTACCGGAAGTGGTGGCGCCGCCGGATGGCGGGAAGAAAGGTGAGAGTGGGTTTGAGGATTATGTGCATTCGTATCCAACGTCGTCGTTTATTGAGAGGGCGAGTACATTTTTGTCTACGGGTGATGAATGTGAGGTTGATGTTGATGTTGAAGCTGCCTCGTCAACATCCTCTCTTTAGTGGCTGTAATGCCTTCTTTCTACTATTGTTTTGGGAATTTCTTGTTTTTTTTTTTTTTTTTACGATTGTGATTGTAGTAATTTTTGTTTTTGTTTTTATGTAAATTGTTTTATTTTAATTATTATTTTTATTTTTGTGGTGGGAGCAGAAGGGAATTTTGACTTTTGATCTTAAAAGGTAAGCATTTTTCTCGTGTTCGAGAATTTATAGGATTGATTCGATTGAACATGGGTGATTCGATTGAACATGGGGTATACTTGAATTATTATTATCGCAAGCTTTATTCATCTCAAATAGAGAGGAAAAAGAAAAAAAGCAGTGAACAATGGTGCAAAGTGTTGTAAAACTAAAGTAGTGAAATTGATATGAAGAGTCTGAAATTTGCCCGAGAAAAAGACCTACTTAGCTTCCAATATTCAAACATAGTGGAACCAGTATTCTAAACGTGTTATTGCTAAGCGTCCTTCTTTTGGATCATTTCATATCTTAAAATTATTAAAAAAAATTAGCTTTAATTAGTTAAGGAATTTCAATCCAGAACATAAAATAACATTCACAAAATTATTTTTCTCAATTAAAAAGAAAAAAAAATTAATGAGGGATGAAAATGAAATTCCCTCATTTCACTTTTTTTGAAACTGTTTTTTTATACTATTATTTTAGATTTTCTACACAATAGATAACAAGTCTATATGAAACGAAAATTATCAATTAAGTATGTCAAGTAAATAGTATGAGATTGAACCGAACGATCAAGGTCATGAGTTCTCTCATTGATGTTGGTTTTGAACTCATTGATGTTGGTTTTCCTAATCAGTTGAATCATGGACCCCCTGATTACTAAAACTTGAAAATGGGGCAGACGAAGAATAAAATTTCTAACTCAAGGAATAAGTTACGTTAATGACTTTCGTAATAGAGTTATGTTAAACACAAAAGACACATTATTTGTCTCACTAGAAAGACTCTGACTTTTATTCCTTTTTCCTTTTTCTGTTTCTTGTATGACTACTTATGAAAAAGAACATATAGTAGTTAGAAATTGTTGATTTGTTATTACAAAATTTCTCCATCGGATAAGTTATAAGGCTATTTTGGTAGTGTTGTACATTTTAGAAAAATTTTGGTTAGCTGTGTTGAAAAAAAAAACAACTGTTACAAAAAGCAGCTGAGTGTTTGGTAAACTATAATTATACAAGTATTGATTCCAGGGGTATTATCAGTATTATGAAAGTTTCATTAATTATACTTCAAGGTAATTGCTGCATAATCTAAAACCCAAAGTTGCTTTTGGGTTGTTTCTGATTTTGACTGTAAATTCCTCAAAAATTCTTTAAGAATAACTTTTTATTGTTTTTACCAAACACAAATTTCAACTATGAGTGGCTAGATAATTGATTTTGGACTTCAAAAATCACTACCAAACATACCTATAATCAACAAGATGGGCTTTGAAATTTAGTAGTCGAGGACATACGTTAGTGAAAAAGTCTTCATTCTCATATGTAACATGATGGCATATTTAATCACTAATATTCATAAAACAATATTATTGCACAATTTGTTGTGAAATATAGATTTAGTGATGTAAATTCATTGATAGACAGATAAGATAGCTTGCTAAGTATCACCAAACTTAATTCTCAAATTTTATGTGCTCATTGTGTTCCTCTTTTATTGTTGTGCAATGATGTCGTATTTGCTCATACCACACTTCACGAGATCTGTATTTAATAATTTATGGTTCTTAGACCCGTTTGGCAAGCCTTTTACTTTTAGCCAATAAAAGAAATGAAACAAAAGTTGTGACTTTTCAACAAGCATTGTTTGAAACTAAGAGCTTAATGGATTGTCAAAATCATATTTAATTTTTTTAATAAACAATAAAGTGTTGGAATTAAGTTTTTAATGCCTTAATTAAATTATGGTACAAATTTTAAAGTCTATTTAAAAGTATTTTTCTTTAGAAGTCACATTTTATGACTTTAACTAGAAGTTTTTTTTAAAACGCCAAAACACTTCTGACATGTCATTTAAACAATTTCAAATGTAACTTTTTGATCTAGAAAGTCAAAAATAGAAGCCTTTTACTTTTAGCCAATAAAAGAAATGAAACAAAAGTTGTGACTTTTCAACAAGCATTGTTTGAAACTAAGAGCTTAATGGATTGTCAAAATCATATTTAATTTTTTTAATAAACAATAAAGTGTTGGAATTAAGTTTTTAATGCCTTAATTAAATTATAGTACAAATTTTAAAGTCTATTTAAAAGTGTTTTTCTTTAGAAGTCACATTTTATGACTTTAACTGGAAGTTTTTTTAAAACGCCAAAGCACTTCTAACATATCATTTAAATAATTTCAAATGTAACTTTTGGATCTAGAAAGCCAAAAATAGCTTTTGAAAAGCTCTTCCAAACAGGCCCATAATGCGCTTTACAACTTTTGAACACAATTTTTTTAATAAACAATAAAGTGTTGGAATTAAGTTTTTAATGCCTTAATTAAATTATGGTACAAATTTTAAAGTCTATTTAAAAGTATTTTTCTTTAGAAGTCACATTTTATGACTTTAACTAGAAGTTTTTTTTAAAACGCCAAAACACTTCTGACATGTCATTTAAACAATTTCAAATGTAACTTTTTGATCTAGAAAGTCAAAAATAGCTTTTGAAAAGCTCTTCCAAACAGGCCCATAATGCGCTTTACAACTTTTGAACACACGCACGCACACATATAGCGTGATGATTATTGGTTAGTTTTTATACCTGCAATCCATCATCAAATCATAGACTCATCCATGAGATAAATATACTTTAGTAGCTTGATTAGCTCATATTTTGAATACTTTAATACTTAAAAGGATTTTAATTTTTTTAAGGGGAAGATATAAACATACTTTTACACACAAGTTGTCTGAAATGTAGGTTTATGAAAGCAAGAATCTAGGGGTACTATTTTATTATAAGTGCCACCTTGATGAGCCCAATCAAAGAAGAGAATAAGTAAAGTTGTCCAATAATAGAATCCTTTAGAATACGACAGAGAAACCGACCCAAAGACAATTGTTATTGTGAATTTGTAATAGTCCATATTATTAGAGATTTTCAATGAGATTTGAGTAAGATGTAGAATACCATAGCATGATATGACTGCATTATCTGGCAAATTTCATCACGTTTGTGGTCCAAATTCAAATGCTCATCATCTGTCTTATGAGGCTGAAACTGTAGGCCCACATCTCTTGGGGCCCACCTCTTTTTCTCATAAAATGTCCATGTAATTCACGACTTTAAATTGAATCTTTGCCTTTTAAAGACTGAAGATAGTAGGCCTTAGAAGTATGAAAGATCTCACGTTTCTCACATATTGGTAATTGGTCAATAGGGAAGAACCATAATGAGTTTCATCACGTTTCTGTTTGATTTTGAAACAAGATGAATGTATAATGAGGCAACTTACATTACCTTTTTCTGAATGAGTAGATCCTAAGTTATAAATTGATGTTTTTCACAAGAGAAGTTGAATTATAATTTATATCTCTAAAATAGTATTGAACTTGTTAGCCACAGTGCCATTTATCTCTAAAATAGCATTGAACTTGCCTGATTTTGGAGGCTTCAACAACTAGCTAAATGGCACATAAACTCCTCCTTTTGCTCTTTAGCAGGAAAAAAAAACAAAAACAAAAACAAAAAAGAACATTACCTCTTTTTATTGGCCAAGGATTCTATTGTATTACCCCATTATCTTCAATGTTTTCTTCTTCTCCCTCTTTCACCCTACTAAAAATCTCATAATCATCGAATCCTGCATATTAACCAAGACAACTAGTTGAATGGAAAACAAAGTTTCATCATAGTTATGCTGTCACATTGAAAACAACATAATAAGATTACCAGTTCCCAAGTCCTCAGCATCGTCGTTTGCGGCTCCTAGAAGCATTGTATTAACCGAGGGAGGATCAACTGCCGTCCAATCTGAATCCCCATAGTCCTCTGAGCACACGCCCTTCCTTTTAACCCAGTCTTCTACAACACTAGCACTCTCGGATGAAATGGGGTCCATAGAATCTTGTCCATTGCTCTTATCCCCCCTGGAAGAATATTTGTTAGTATCTTAGTGAAAGAATGATCATTTTCTCTTTAAGTGCAACAACCATAAAACTGGTAAAATACATAAAGGATCTACCAATAAAACACAAATGTTCCTATATCAACTTACATCTGTCTCAGTCGCAAGTTGTGCTGAACAAAGACGAGGTTGCTGAGACGTTGCTGCTCTATGGAGTTCCCTGTATCGTGTATTTTCTGAACACAAACTTCATTCCGCTTACAACCGATCAAGCTACAAGTTTGACTGAGAATGCGGGTAGCCAAACGCGCCAAGTTTGGGCAACCTCCTCCATACGTTGACCACCATTCGGCTAGGACAAAAATAGTTCGAAAATGTTAGCCGTGAGATAACTTAATACATTCGTTTAGTGATCTAGGAAATAATGTTTACAGTAGCTCTGTCATTTGATGTAAAGATGAATATATTTTTAACAAGAATTATGAAAAATCCAAAAGCTGGTATCTAAACCTTACTCATAGTCAACTAGAGCTTAAAATGACCTAAAAGTTCTCTAGATCATTATTAGATGCTAACTGCAACTCCCCAAGTATTCTGCAAAAGTGTAAGAAAATTTCGAACCAAGAAACTGGAAAAAGGAAATAAATCCTTACCAGGTAGCAGAGTGTCCCTAGTTCTGATTGCCATCTTCCTCCCAAAATCTCCAGCAGCATTCTTATATGAGTTGATTTCCTTAATTATTTTATCTTGGACATCCGTATCAGGAACCAATCTCTCTATGCAATCAAACATCCCTGAGAGGATATCATTGTGCAGATCTCCTTCAACACTGTAAAAATATTTGGGGTTAAGGTAGAACCCTGCTGCATGAAGAGGAAGGTTTCGGTGTTGTTCCCATTGGTGATCTATAATATCCCAATAAACTGCGTAATCCTCCTTCTTAACAAGTTCTTTCTTAATCGTTTCTTTCGCCCGATACATGGCTGCATAAATGTATCCCATGGCAGGCCTCTTCTCAGCACTAACAATTCTCAAAACTCGCAAGAGAGAACTTGTTAGATGGGTAACAAGGGTGCATGAGGACCAAAATGAGTGATTACTAATGGAATCTAACATTTCCAACCCCCCTGGTTTCTTCGAATACGGGCAATCCACCCACTCCTGCGAGGCGACCATGGCCTGCAAATTGTGTTTAAGGTCAACTAGTCGTTTTAATGTCATGAAGTTTGTAGCGAACCAGGTGACACCCGGTTCTACAATATCGTTGCCAAAAGTGTATCTTCTGACTATATTCAAGACCTCACTGTGATTGTAGACAAATCTTGTAATAGTCCTTGCCTGTTCAATCACCTCACTTATCCAATCTATATTACTGAAATCCTCTAGTACCAAATCTATTGAATGAACCGCACACGGAGCCCAATACAAACTAGTGAAAGTTTCACTCAACCTTCTCCCTACAACAGCATATTGCTCTTTGCTACTTCTGGTAATCACTTGCAGCACATGTTTTGCCCCGACTTCTTCCACAATTCTTTTAAGGAGCTCATAAAGAGCATCAGATGAACTAACGATGTCAGATGCATCCACTTTTCTCAAAAACACTGTTCCTTCGGGACAATGCACATAAAAACTCAGGAAAACTCTGCCAACTTCTGTGTTCCACTCATCAACCAAGACAGAACAACCAGTCTTTTCCCATGTAGCTCTGCATTTATCGACATCATTCCTCAGTTCTTCCACCGAATTCTTCAACATCCAACCGCGAAGATCATGATACGAGGGCAACACAACCCCCGAACCACCTGAAGCAATCGCATCAATCATCGGCCGGAAATAAGCAGAGTTCACTGCGTCCAAAGGCGCCCCAATGTCGTACAAAAACCGCGCAATTGCCATGTTCACAAAATTATTTACCTTCTTAGTTCCTAAATCGACAGTATTAGATACATTAATAGCATCACGAGCTGAAGAACTCCTACCCCTCCCTCTCTTCCTTCTATCCAAACTCCTACTACTCGTCGCCCCATCTTCTCGGTTCATCACCAAGCTCGAATTGGGTTCGAGTGCGTGATCATGAACAACGATCAAATTGATCCCAGCACTAACGTCATCCTGATGGGCTAGTGAATCCACCTCACTATGAGGCCTGTGGTTAATGTTGGTGATCTCTTCATCAAGCTTCTGCCTATTCCTCTTCTTCACCACAACCCCATCAAGACTCTGCTGCATCAAGGCCCGAACATCGGGCGGGACCCGAAGACAAGTCGAGGCATTGCCCTTGTGTCCAGCAAGGTGTTCCTTAATCCTATGAATCCCACCACCCTTAAACAATTTGCTACAGTAAATACATTTGAGCTGGACCCTTTCCCCATTCTTGAACATTTGGCAATGTTTCCAAGCTGGGTCATGTTTTTGGGACGTTATAGGTATGGGTTCCAAACCAGACGCCATTTTTGGCAAAGCTAAACTTATCATTAAAATAACCAAAAAAAAAAAAAAAAAAAAAAGGGTGGGCAAAAAAAATTTTCCCAAATTTCTTTAAAAAAAAAAAAAAAAAAAAAAGGGTGGCCCAAAAAAATTTTACCAAATTGCATAAAAAAAAAAAAAAAAAAAAAGAATAAGGGTGCGCAGAAAGAATTGTACCAAATTGCATTAAAAAAAGAAAAAAAAAAAAAAGAAAGAAAAAAGTGTACCAATTGCCAGTTTCCTATCCAATTTAATTCATACAAATTCACAAACCCGGAAAGGAAAAGCCGAAAAAAAAAATACTAGACTTTAGAGAGCTTACTTGTTCAATGGCGCTTTGAATGAGTTTTGACGAAGAATCGAATTTTGGGAAACAGAACCGAGTTAGGGTGGTTGGGCGGTTTTGTAATAAACCGTGGAAGGGTAATAACCGGATGGACCAGTTAGGGTTGTGTTTTGCTGTATTTAGTTCGGATCAAGCTGGTCAAAAACCTTTTAGTTGGACCGGTTTTAATGAGGAGAAACCGGACCTTTCGGTGACATGCTCACCCGCTGCTTTTGACGAATCGGGTTCATGGCAGTTACGGATCTCTCTCTCTCTCTCTCTCTCTAATGGGCAATTTGCACTAGTGCACACCATTTTTTTTGTCATTTATAAATTGGACCTCAAAAGTTTAATCTTGCAATATTTAGGGCACTAAAATTTTTCTTTTATAATAGTTTAGGACACACGGGACGTTTAGTTTATGGATTCAAAATTATTATCGGTTTACGTGTATTTTTTATGAGAGAAAATACTGTAGCGAACCACGAACTATGATTTGAATCATGGCACGAATCCACCAACCAAACACACTAATTTGACAATCCTTGACCAATCCAATGGATAACTTAAGTCAACTAATAAATGGTAATTATTTAAAGTTCCAAATACCAAAAAATATTGAAAGTTTAAAGTATGATTTACCCACCAATAAAAGTTTAGGGTACATTCTATGCGAAAATCGTAGTCATTTTGGCTATTAAATTTTTCGTTAGTTATTGGACTATAGTTACAACAAAAATTAAATTTAGGGTCCTTATTGAAACAAGTAAAAGTTTAAGATTTAAATTGTCAAATTTCGATAAATTTTGGGTTCAACAATGTCAAAATCTTTTTCTTATTACTTCTATAAATTATCTAACTATTTACCCTTATATAACACGCCAATGAATTTTGAAAAGCATTAAGTTCACCCTCTCAACTATATAAAATCATTCAAAACACAGTTATAATTATGAAATTGACTGCATATATTGTTCAAATAAGTTTGCCTCCATTGTCATAGAGAAGTGTTTTAACTTTTGGCACTCCTGTTGAACGCCAGACCGTTGTGAATGCAATGCTTGATTGCATTGATGAAAATGAGCCCTTTAGGTTTAACAACCATATCTGATTCATGATTTGTTTTCTAAAATGAGAAAGCTTGTGTGCAAATGCAGAGCTAAATGTGGCAGGGGTAAGCAACCGCATTATATGATTTTTTATTTTTTCTTTAAATTTTGTGTGTATAATTTGTTAAAATTTATATTTTCTTAGAAATCTAAAATCATATGTCCGTTCCTGTCTCCAATCGACCTTCAAAATCTAAAGTTAAGATTAAGCTAGAAAGCTTTTAAATTATTTAGAATAAAAAAGGCTTAATCTTTTGTCTTGTTTTTTAAACAAGTAAGCTGAGTTAAGAACTTGAATTGTGTATGTGAGAGAAATTTAATGTAGTAAAAAATTTTAATTTAAATTTTTGTGAAAGAAAACACTATAGTAATAAAACTTGAGTTGTGAAAAAAACAAAAAAACAAAAAAAAACAAACAAAACAAAACCATAATCTTTCTAAATAATCGTTGATAGTTATGTAAATGAGTAAACGACTTCTAAACTATGTTGGATTTTCTGTGTCATGATAGGATTATTGATAGTCACATCTCTCCAAGAGCCAAATTGTTCAATTCGCATTAGAAAGAGAATCAAAAGAAAATACTAAAAACGTATCACCAAACGATATACCGAGATAGAACAATACACATGGCTTTGTTCAGAGGTTAAATAGGAGATGCCACATTTCATGACTGGCTTTCTAACTTGAGAAAGTTTTTGTCATCTTTTCCTTCCAATTTCTTGGCCAAACGGTGTCTAAAGTAATCTACTTTCTTGACATTACTGTACATTTTCGGAAGATCAAGGATCATCGATTCAACCGGACCGATATCGGCGGCATCATCGTCTGAAAAAACAAATGCTGCAATTGACATTCTCGCTTTGTTCGCATTTTTCACAGCTCTGTTCTCGATGCTTTTGTACATCCCGTTGCTCCAAGCCTGAAAAACCATTAGAAAGAAAAGAAAAGAAATACACAATCTTTTTGAGTTTAGGAGAAAACAATGTAAGTATGAAAACATAGGATTTAATATATTAACTCCTAAATATCATACGATTTCCAGACATGATTTGTTCTCATGGATGCTTATATGTAAGTAAGAAAGTGTTAATTTTCCTTTTCACTTCTAGCATGGAAGACATTAATTGATTGTTTAGTCCTTAAAATATTTAACTTTATTTAGTATTTTGACATTTCTACCAAGTTGAGATAATTGGACAAAAAATGTTAAGAGCAACATGTTTGGTAAAAAGGAAAGGAAAATAAGGTGGAGAAAAATTGTAGCGAGTCTCAACGAATTTAATCTTTCTAGTTTCTAATGTTAAATTAAAAGGTGAAAACCGAATAATGATGACCAAAATTACTTCCTCGTCCTCATTTTCAAAGAAACATAACACAAATAAGTTGAACAAAACAGTAATTACATAAATCTCTCATTTTGTCCTTCCTATCTACCAAACAACAGTGTTCAATTAAGATCAAAGCTTTGAGCAAAAAAAAAAAAGTAAGATCCCCTTTTTTCACGACGAATGTAAGATTGAGTTGTTGAACATGCAGTAAACACCAGGCACAACCTTCTTCTGGCATATTGTTTTGATGTTTTACACACATTAGCTGATAAACAAATATTCATTGGACTATTAGATTAGTTTATGACACAAATTAGGGGCTATAAATAGATGTTATCCAACTCACGTTATGATTTAAAGTGTATTGTGAGTACCTCAGTAGCATCACAAATGTTGACGACCAATGCATTTCGGACTGGTTTCACAAAAATCCATCTTGTATTTGATCTCACGACCAGCAATGTTGTCGTCCTAAAGAGGTATGGTGTTACCAAGGAAATGGAAATTTTACTGATAAAGTACTCTTTGAGACAGTGCCAAACTCCCTTACAAAGCAATTCTTCTCTGAGCATGAAAACCCCCAAATACAAGAGTTTCCCTTATATATTTTCCCTTCCCAGCTATAAGCGAAATTAAAATAAAATTGAAGAAAGAAAAATAACATAATAACAACTTGGGTGTCCCTCAATTCTCGCGATGCATCAACGTCCTCCATTGAGCTCAAAACCGTTAAGTCACCTTGGTCTTCGTCACTCCCTGACCTCACGCGCCTGAATTGACTCTCTCTCTGGAACCTTCTCAACCTCAATTGCTTCTTTGTTCAGCTCCCCTTCAAAACGCAGACCTGCCCTTGTCGTTTCAGCTTGAGGACTTGGGCCTTGGACCTTGACTCCTTCCTCACGATGGGCTTCCTTGCTGGTCTCATCTTGGGCTTCCGTCACAGCCCATCCCTTCATCAACTCTTGAATTCGGTTGGCATTGAGGACCAACCCATACCAGCTATCACTCCCCGCAGCTTCGAAAATGACCTTGTCCTCAAGGTCTTGCATGTTGTAAAGCTGACAAAAAGCTGTGAACTCCTCCCAAGTGGCGTCATCTGGACGACTATGAGACCACTGGACCAGTATCTATTTTGCTACCTTACCCCGTTCGGAGTGGAGGCGAGAAGCTAGGATAGCCACCGGAGCAAGTAGCGGTCTGTTGGTGTGGCTCAATTCTGGAAGAGGATAACTAGTGGGTGGTTTGTCCCCTTTGAATGCTTTTAAGGAGCGAAACATGAAAGGTTCGGTGAATCCGACTCCTAGGTGGCAGTTGAAGGGTGTAGGTGACAGGCCCAGCATGTCCAATGATTGAAAATGGACCGAAATAGCGACGACAAATCTTCGAGTTAAGGCGTTTAGCCACTGTGCTCTGACGGTAAGGCTGTAACTTGACCAACACCAACTCACCAATCTGAAACTAAACATCTCTTCTCTTTTTGTTGACCAATTGTCGCATCCTATTTTGAGCCTGTTGTAAATTCACCTTGAGACGCTGTAGAAGTTCATCTCGAGTAGTCAATGTATCATCAACCGCCTGTAGGGAAGAGGACCCTCGTATGTAAGCCATAATTGATGGTGGCAGCCGCCCGTACACCGCCTGGAAAGGTGACATACGAATGGCTAACTGATAGCTAGTATTGTAGTGGTACTCCGCCCAACACAAAAAACTAGACCACTACTTGGGATGTTCCACTGTGAAAGCTCGCAAATACTGCTCCAAGTAACGGTTAAGCACTTCGGTTTGACCGTCGGTTTGAGGGTGGTATGCCGAACTCATCTTCAATCGAGTGCCCATCATCTCAAACAACTTTCTCCAAAACTGGCTTGTGAATATCGGGTCCTTGTCCGACACTATAGAACGAGGCAGTCTATGTAACTTGATTACCATACCACAAAATAATTCCGCAACTTTTGTGGCTGTATAGGTTGCCGGTAGTGCTCCGAAATGGGCATACTTCGTAAGGCGATCAATGACAACAAGTATGGTTGAATTTCCTTTAGAGTTAGGCAAACCCACGATGAAATTGTAGGATCTAGTTGTGATTTTTAATGAAAAATCATTTGAACAACAACAAACTTGTAGGCGGAATTTCAAAAATTTTAACATATCCATTTAATTCCAAATTAAATGTAAACCACAACGAGAGATACATGCATGATATATGTTTATAGACAAAGGAATAAAATGACAATCATACCTTTGTGACGATTGAATCAAAAATGACCGCAAGGATCTTGTCTCACTATCTCACGTTCCGAGATGGAGAATTGCCGTGAAACAAGATCGTTGATCTATCGATATGATCACACCAAAAACCACTCGTTGATTCAAGACTATGACTCTAAGTGTTTTGGGATGAGAGAGTGGGCTCTTTTCAAAAAACCTAAGGAAACAATTTTTCCTTCTTTTTTGTCTCAAAATTCCGGCCACCCTAAGGAGAGAAAAGTGTGAGATATTTTCTTCTCTTAAAACCTCATAGCTAGGGTTTTCAATAATATCCTTTTATAGGAGGAAATTCAAAAACTCAAACCCTAGATGGGATTTTCGAATTTCCCCTTCTCTCTAGGATCAAAAT